TACCTACGCACTGATGCAAGCCATCAAACATGCACATCCTCAACTGCACGAAAACACCAAAATCGACACTTTCTGACACTCTCGGTCACCCCCTTTTCCCTCCTGCTGTTTGCCCTGCCCAAAAAAGAGCGGCTGACTTTGGTGATCTATGTATCTAATTGCCTATTTGTCTGTCTATGTCTCTCTACCTCTATCTCTATCTCTATCTCTATCCATCCATCCATCCATTTATCCATCCACTCTTCTCTCTATGCCCCGACCCGTCTATGGATCTTTCCCGCACTTTTATCCAGCCACCCATCCGCCATTGCAGGCCCCTCCCTTTTATGTCGTTTAGTGATAGGCCCCTACTTGAAGACCAATCAATCTACAGTGACTTCAATGGTCCATGATGCTATGCAAAATGTACACTCTGCTGCTGACTGATTGTCTGCTTTGTGAACATATGATCCGCAAAGGTGGAATCTGAACAAAGTTGAACGGAAAAGGACACTCCGAACTTGTCTTGCAAGCTTGCTTGACTGTTGGACGGATCTGCGATTCAACTTTTCCTGGGCAGGAGAAATACATGAAAAAAATATCTCGCCCATCGTTTGTGCTGTCTTCGCATCGAGCAAACTCTGAATGTTATCTGTGACCAATAGTGACCCCTCGAGTTTGGCTCGAAGGTCCTGTCATCCCTCCGCCGAGCCAAGGCCTTGAATCTGAAGTGATAGTGCCCCGGAGGAGGAAAAGTGGATCTCACCTTGTCGAAGTGAGGCTCAAGTCGAAGTGACTATGCAACAAGCAACATGCGAAACAAGGAGCAAAGGGCATCGCTACTAGGAGCAAAGGACGCTACTAGGGGCTCCTGGCCGTACTACTAGGAACAAGAACGATACTAGAAGCAAAGGGCATGTAACACTGTTTAACACTATATAATACTTGAGACAGGTGAGATTCGCAAAGCGGATCATGCCATGCGTTCCAGTTCCATAAAGTTCTATGTTAAAATGTGGAAGGACTTTTGACAATGAGAAATAGAACAGCGGAAGACGGTGGGTGTTACTCGCTTTCGTTCTCCAAGTCCAATCATTCTGATGAAGAACTATTATTTTGTCTCTTAAATAGAACAAAACACATAAAGCACTTGATCAAGCCAATGATCTAGGCGTGCCATGGTCAGAAATCTGGACTGAACAAAAACACACATAATGGTGTAATCGCAAATACAATTACAGGGAAGGAAAAGGTTTTGCCAACTTCCGAACGCGTGGCCATGGCGACGGTCACGCTGACCGCACCACCTGGCCGCGGTCAGCGATATATATATATATACATACATGTTGATATGATTGACCTTTGCTTGTGGAATCATAATATTGCACAACTCACCAAGTGATACAGCCGGTTAGGACCCCTGCAAGATTGATCAGAAATATTTGCTGTCCATTGCTGTCCTGCTTCTTCTTATTCCCTGTCTGCTGTTCTTTGCAGGGCCATTCAGTTCAAAGCAATAGCCTTGCAAATGTAACACAATGTTCCACAATGTGCTCACACTTCAGTGCAAGCCAGGCCAGCAAAAATGCTGCGCCCGTTAAAACCTCCTCTTTCTACATTGTTAGTACAAAGCCACATCGTTCTTGTGACATCTTGCGTACAGTGTCATGCCTTCAGATCCCCATTTCAGCGTGACAATTGACAAAAATGGGTCTGTCCATGTCTGTCCTACTGTGGAGAGCCCTGGCGCTCCCAAGCATCTGAACAGCAAGTGTCATGTTTCTAATAGCAATGGCCTTCACCCTAGTAGCAATGGCCTCCAACCTAGTTGTGATGGCCTCCACCCTACTAGTTGCGATGGCCTCCAACCTACTAGCGATGGCCTCCACCCTAGTAGCGATGGCCTCCAACCTACTAGCGATGGCCTCCACCCTAGTAGCGATGGCCTCCAACCTAACAGCGATGGCGTCCAGCTTAGTTTCTGTGCAAGTGTCATTCCCTCTTCGCACCGATTCGTGGAATCAAGCCAAGCATGCTCAAGGGCATTGAGTACAACGCAAGCTCTCTGTCTTTGTCCTCCGCATTTTGTACCTGTCCAGGCAGCGGGGTGGAAGAGATCTCATCCATTCACCAGGTATACAGTCGAACTGTACTAGGACAACTGTGTTTCTCTTGAAGCCTTCGCACACAGACCCACTTGTCCCTATTTTAACCCTGGAATATCCTTTAGAATCGTTCAAAAGACCTGTGCGCACTTAGTTTGGTCGAATGTCCTCCGTCCAAAGTTGTTCAATTCAATGCGCAAAATACACAATGTACATACTTACAACAGGGTGTTTATGTTCCACCCCTGCAACATAGACTATCTTATTCCGTGAACATGATACACATAGTTGTTATCATGCCAGGCAACTCTCAATGCAGGAACGCCCCCAGTAGAACCCTTTAGCTTCTAGAACCTACACTTTCCCAGTTCCCAGACATGAGGACCCATCTATCTGCCAAAATCTACTCTTACACTTTTACGGCTAGTATGAACGGCTCAGTCTTGGTCTTACACAACTCAAAGAACCCCGCGTCCGGTCGATGCAGAACAAGGGGGTCCGGTCGGAGCTAGAGAGGTGCATTCGTTCAAGCACACACACCAGGCACAAAGCAACAATTCCTTCTGGTGTGTGTGTGTGTTCTCTTGCTTTAAACTGCTCCCAATGCAGACGGCGGAACTCACAAATACTAGCAGTAATATATTTGCGAATCTTGACGCGATTCGACAATAGCCTCGTAGCGGACCAGGATGCTATCATCTGGACAACCCAAAGCCGTTGCGACCTGATGTTCTGCAAAGCGTTCAACTCTCTTAATGGTCAATCTGTACAAAAGAAACACATATTGCACACAATGGTCTTCGCACGGAAAATGTGGTTGCTAAGAATTTAAGGCATCATATTAAGATATATTGAGCATCACTTAAACAACACCACAAAAAGAGAACAAGAAGAACAAGAACAGCAACAAGGAACGTACAGCGGCTGCCTGCGGATCAAAGGGGATCTCAACGCTCGCTTCCTGCCGCAGATGGCTCTACGGATTCACCCAGCACTTGACATCACTTGATAAGCCCGACAAGTGCTGGGCGAATTCTCGGGCACATCCGCAAGACGATTTTGCGGCGGTGTCGGGGGAGAAGGATATTATACGGTATACATCGGTATATACTTTCTAGTATACTGTCATGTACTGTCCAGTGATTGATGAACTGACAAGGCAGCAAACCAATTCTTCAACGTTGACCAGCATGCCGTGTATGTTTATGTGCTGGTGCTTCCGCTACTATGGCCCCGAATTCCCACTACAGTAGGCAAGGGTGCGAGCAATGCTTCTTGCTTTAGGACAAATATACGTCCTCAATGATGCTGCATGAGAGTGAAACACAAGCATTGGAATGGCTTTCTTTGAACCTTTCGAGGTGGAGTTGCCACATGCACTACCATGTTCCTGTGCCTGCAGTGCTTCCGAACCATAGTCACGTCGAATAGCGGCCCCTTTTGCAGCAGCAATAACTTACATTATGTAATGCCTCTTTCCATGCCTAGGCCTGTTCAATCGAGCGAAGTCATCCAAGTGCTTCTGTTCGATTCTTGCTTGAAGGACATGATATGATCCAGCATGTTCAATGCACCACTAGAATCTGCTGTCACTCCCCGGTCACCTGTCCACTTGCACCATCTTTGCCATCCTGCCCAGGTCTCACGCAGGAAGGCAGCTGAGCTAATAAGCTTTTCTATCCCAGTTGAAGGATGTTGAAGGAGCACATCGAACCCATCATGTCTTGATCCTCCATGATTCTTGTGCTGATCGAGGCTTTGACAAGCGCTCCGATAGGCTACCATGCTTAATTATGCCCGTCCAGTCCTTGACCTTGTCGAGTCCATCTAGGAGCTCGGTCGTTCGCTTCTTCAACTTGTCCAAACCTGGGTGATAGATCAGTTAAATTACTGAAGCTCACAAGTGCAACACTTCTTTCGTGCAATTAGGGACGATTAGGTTGGTTTCCTCAGGTCATTGGACCGGTTTACCTCTCACCAAGATGATTCTGTAGTCCCACCTTATTCCAAAAGAATATACATCTTGGCTTCTGACTTGCTGCAAATAGCGACATGCTCGCGTTGAGGTGTCTGTTCTTTGCAGGTATATTTGACACCAGACTGCTCAACTCTGTGTGTGTGTGGCTCTTTGCAGGAGCTATTTGCACTAGGAATCGATAAATGGAATGTTCGTTAAAGACATTGAAAAGTCTTTCTTGCTGAAGGCAAAAACCGACGACAAGGGGCACTTTGAACAACATGTCTATGTTGTTTGATTGATCCAGGTCGAGGGCACTCCTCTGCCTGACTGAACCAAACAAACAAAAGCGGCAAAGGACAGCAAAGTTGCACACTGTGTCTGTGTCTGAAACTTGGTTGTATATATATATATATACATCATATATCAATCTTATTCAATATTGTTGTAGACCGCCTGGGTATATGTGGGTCACACTGTGCACACTGCTAAGCTGCTAAGCCCATTCAGATTGCACCAGTCTGTCACACTGGTGAAAATTGCACATCCAAATATGCTAGCTGTGACATCTACCTACCTTGTGATTTAATACTCCAACACCTTGGGGGTTGAAACTGACAATCGCAAAGGGACAAGGTGATGGTGATACAAGCATTTACTGCCCAGTTCTAGGGAGTTCGTACCGTGTCATTGGGAGAGAGTTCCGGAGAAGGCAACAACCTGCTCCTCTCACAATATCACCCCTGCCCTCTGGGTACTGCATGCTAAACAACAAAGGTCATGTGAGTGATGAAGTCAAACAAATGGATTCTTGGTGCTAATTTGGTCTTACCTGCGTGTATCTGCATGTCTGCGGGACTTCGTAAACAAACCGTTCTGTTGGCTGGAGTGCTTTTCTGCGATTTGTTGCTTCGGATGCCGATCTATTTGTGCTCATCTCCCCTCCAAACAGTCACCCTTTTGAAACCTGTCCTCTCAATCACCAACATACTGTTGGGATACAAAAGCCTTCAAACGGCTGAACAAGGCGACTCCAATTGCCAACACGTGTACTAAGCATGACTAAGCAAGGAAACCGTGCTCATGTCTTGCCACTTGATTGACAGATCGCCAGTGATCAAAAGCAAAAAGGCTGCCTTTGCAGCTGAATCGGCCTGATATTGGCCTTGAAGCACCAAACGTGCCTTTCAATGCCAAGAAAATATCAAGCTGACTTGAAGTCATCATCTGGAACCTTCCCGTCAGGAGGGACCGCAAGTCAAGACACAACCTTGCTGGAACACAATTTATCCGGTTCGCGTTCGCAGTCGTGTGACCCTGCTCCCGGGTCGCCACACTACCAACCACCCGAAGCTTGGAGCACCAGTATTGGTAAAACATAATCAAACGCCTCCACCCTAGTAGCTTCTTGTTACTAGTAGCGATGTCCTCCAACCTACTTGCGATGGCCTCCACCTAATAGCGTCCTTGTTCTTGTCACAAAATTGAACTTTGCACTTGTCAAGTTATCCATTGTATTATCCTTTCTGTTTTGGGAGTGGTCTTCTTCACGAGCGGACTCTAGACCAGCGGGTAATGCTTCACGAAAAAACCTACCGCCTGGGGCCTGTATCCCTGCTGGATCATCTCGGCTCACAACAGTACTAATGTTTTATTTGCACGTGCCTTAGTCTGCGAGTGTTTTTGGGAAAGTTGAGTTGCATTCAAATCAGTCTGCCAAGAGACCTGCCGAGGGTCAAAGGCCTGGGCAGCACCAAGGACTGTTAGATACTGTTAGGTTGGCTCCGTTTTTTGGTAATATCGTCAACTCGAAGGTGCAATTCTCACTGGGCTGCCATTCCTGTATTTCACGGCATTTCCACTCAACAAATGCTCACTCTGCAGGAACCAGGAAATCTGGAAAAGTGAAATTGAAGTGCAACCGTTACATTCATAAGACGAACACACAGTATCTTCAAGACAACGAATAGTTGTAAGACCCCGCAACACACCACCTGCAATAAAGCAGCAATTACAATCAATACTATATATTATATATTATATATATTATTTATACTATGTGTATATATAATATATATATATAAGATATTCATTTCAATTCTCGCACATTCCGAACAATGCAACAGCCAGCTGCTCGACTCTACTGAAGCAAATGTTCGGCGAACCTGGGAGTTCGGGCCAGGGTAAACGCTCAACACGGTCTTATCTCGAGGAGCATCATCCAGCTTTATTTGCCGCATCCACCCATGCCTTGGCACACACAGCTCTTTCATATCCTTAAGAAAGCTTATTCTTCTTTTGCAAATCTTTGTGTTACTGAGAGCGGCGGCTTATCCTCGACCTCTCCATTTTGGATGGCACGCACCCTGCGTCGGTGTTTGCAAAGAAGTCAACAAGCCACAGGAAGAATGAACTTTGCATCACTTCGGGGGTGCAATGAATGTCGTGAAGTGCAAAAAAAGACAACACCCCATCGAAAAGGTCCGTGAATCACCCAGAAAGGTCGCAACAATTTTTGATGATAGAAGAACATAGAAAAAACAGAACGTGGACAAGTATGAAAGTGCGTGATGCTGTTTGCTTCAGCAGGTAACTGTTATGTGTAGCCGGCAGTCTGATCAAAACACAACAAAGCATAAGGAGGTCTTAAAGGTATTAATGGTCCTGAGAAGTACATGGACTTGGACTTGCCAGAACTGTATTTAGTAATTCCAAATTCTGCCTGTCACGCAACTCTCGCAAGACCTGCCAGCGACTGCAATCAATCTTTGTATCTCACGTAAATATAATTGGAAACACATCAGGAAAATGGAAGCCAACAGCAAAAAATAGAAAACAATAACATGCAGAATGCCGTGGCTGGAAACCGTCAAACTGGCACATTGAACTCAGCACTCAACCTATTTATAATATGTTATAACTTGCAACTCCAGCAACGCAAGCCACCAAATTGCCACACACTGGCAACAACCCTTATAGGGAATCACGGCAAGATGGCCGTGAATCCCTATATTTCTACGATGTCGTGTTGAACTCAAACCGTCTTGACTTTGCGCCTTTGGCTCTCCAAAAGTCCAAGTCTGGTTGCCGCGAGTCAAGGACCTTGAAAGCAAATCACTGATCATTCAAGGAAAGCCTCCTTGCTACTAGTAGCTTCTTGTTACTAGTAGCAATGGCCTCCACCTAGTAGCTTCTTGCTACTAGTAGCTTCTTGTTACTAGTAGCGATGGCCTCCAACCTACTTGTGATGGCCTCCACCTAACAGCGTCCTTGTTACTATAAGTATGGCAAAGCTAGTTTTCAACCAGCTCCTTGACCACTTCACCCTATCGGTATTAATTGCACGAATAAATGCATACCCGCAGCCTGTAAAGCTATCAGTATTGACACTTCTCCTCAAACGGCGCACCTGATGGGTGTCACTACCACAGCAGTCCCCACGGCACCAACTTCTGCGAAGCTGTCAACCTGAGTTCAAAGCCAGTTGACTCATCAACAGTTGAGGAGTTCATGTAGTCTGTTGTTCCTTCAAGCATACCTTCTAATCATCTACCATTCCTCAGTCTGAAATAACAATCTGCACAAAAGCTGTGGACTGATTTGGAAGCCAGGCTCAAACCCTGCCTCCTTCTCGAAGTCAATCTGTCGTCGCCTGAGCTTCGGGCATTGAATGCCTACAGACTAAACATTAAAGGAACTACTGCGACTCGTTGATCTGTTTGTCTGATCTTCTCAGTCAATGTCTTTGTGTTTGGACCCGCAGAATGTGCGAAACAAAAGCAACAGAAACTCTCCCAAATGAATAAAAGTCTGAGGCAAATCTTGTTTGAAGACATATAATAAGGCACACACTCAACGGGTAGATTGAGATCGACAGCAAGCTGCTGCAAAACCTGCCGAGATCTGCCGGGCAGTTTTGTTTCCCGGAGGTGAGCTCCGTGTGTTGATGCTGAATTAAAAACAAAAAGAGCAACATCAAAAGCATGACACTCAGGAGAATCATGCAGATTCATTTCAAGACATTCCGATGTTACCCTGCAAAGCCTGCAAGGATACTTATCTTCGACATTCCAACGTAAAGATTCAATTGACATCTATGCAAGCTGCCTTGTTGGTGTTGCTATCCAGCACGCTTCTTGGTGCATCCGGTGTGACGTAGCGACCATCCTTCTCGCACAATGGGTCCCGAAACACTCTCATTTGTTCACTTGGACATACTTGGCCACCAACTTTTGTTTGCAAAGCTCAAACATGATTAACACCCTTGCAAACTCTTGCAAACATCCTTGTGCCTTATGGAGCGCGCTGAATAGATGCGACTATATTAAGAAACAAATTAACAGCTACTGGTAGCTACACATTCTCTGTTTGTGGCAAGCGGCGCCCGAACAAGCAGAGGGAGAAGGACCTGGACTGAGCCAGCTGTACATGCACACTGTACAAAAGTCATCCTTCATCCCATTGGACCGTCAGGCCAAAATGCTGTCTTGAAAGTAGACTTGACCCATCTTGACCCCCTTGGGTCAAGCACAAATGGCACCAATCGCCCGTGGGAGAACCTTCGGTTTTGTAAAGCGTCGGGTGCGGCGTCGCACATGAGACGAGCAGAATGAAACCTCTGAAGCAACAAAGGATCCAAGACTCATCGTCTCATCGTCTGCTTCCACCGTCTCCGTCTGCGGTTCTTGTGTATCTGAAGTCTCTGAAGCCTCTCCTGGTACCTCTGAAGCCGCTTTTGGAGCCTCGGTGTCATCCGAAGGTTCTGGCTCTGACTCTGTAGAGGGCAGGGCTATGATTATGACACTGAGAAGCATACAGGCAGCACCCAGGAGTGTCAAGACTTTGGGCACTTCGCTGAAGAACACAATTTGTGAGATGTAGCCAGATACCATGCAGGCAGTGGTAAATACGGTTGCGCTTACCGCTGCTGGGCAGCGTGTGGCCCCAGCTGCAGGCAGACCAATGGCGGCCATGGTCCACATGCTGAGCATTGTGAGTAGTCCAAGTGCAATGCCTGGATTGGCCAGTACAGGCTCCCAGGTTGGTTTTGGACCCATGGGGAGCAAAGCTGGCATCAGGGCCATTGGTACTGCAAAGACCAAGCTACTGAAAGTCAGGACGCCAACTGAAAGGTGGGCCGACTTCCGAGCGCAAACAAAAGACGCAGCTTGAAAGCAGCCTGACAGCAAAGCCAAGAAGTACCCCAACGGACTCTGTTGCCGACCCTCTGAAAGCCCAAAAATGAATTCGGGCTGGGCGATACAAATAGCTCCTGTAGCAGATAGCACAAGTGCAATGAAATGCCAAATGCCAAGTTCCTCCCTTAAGAAGACGCGGCCAAAGAGGGCCGCGGCGATGATGTCAACACTGGTCAACGCTGCCACATCCCCTGGAGAAGCTCCAATGAGCACTGCGATCACCGCCAAGATCCTTTGCTTTGAAAGGACACTGTCATGACACCCTTACTAAACCTATAATCAAATCAAAGGTCACGATTGACAAGCAAACAATCCAAGTTTTACCAACAATGAACAATAATATCCAAAGACAATCTCACAAACAAAGACAAGAGACCAGTGCAAATCTTCAAAAACTGAACGAGAAATGACCCACTTCAGGTCAGATCGGCTTGGTAGTTCCATCTTGAAGCAGTAGACAGCCATGCCATTGAAGACGGCCGCAAGCAGCGACGATGCAACCACCAAATACCAGTATGGCCAATGGGCTTTCTCGATCAGCTTACTGGTCACCATATCACCTGTCACACAAAGGCCAGTGGCAGCCATCAGCAGCATCCCGCAAAGAGCTCCTTGATTCTAAATTCATCTAAATTCTAAATCTATTAGCGATGGCCTCCAACCTACCCAATAGCGATGGCCTCCAACGCAATAGCAACGGCCTCCATCTACTTGGAAACACATGACAAATGGAAAAGCTCATTGCAGTGGATATGTTGGCATAAAAGTTACATGATGTTACATGTTCAAACATGACACTAGTACTGGTGGTTCCTATCTACCTGTGACTGCAATGTGTTAACCAAACTTTTGTCAGGAAGAATTGGCAACTAGCAAATAGAGGCAAACAGTATTAAATGCTCCAATTCACAGTGGTCAGTGGTTGGCCTGGGTATGTTGGTTGCTCAAAACCCGCAAGCAGCGATAGCAGTAAGGTTGATTGAGAACAAACATGGTGCAAATGGAATTGAATCTACAAGCCCAGTGTCTTGACACCATGCTTCTTGGCAAGCGCGGAAGATGCACAAGCTAAAATCCCGGAAGCGCAGCCGATGGCAAAAATACTGGTCTCTGATCCGACATGCCGTGGATGGAAATTGATATGTAACGTTCAGTCTGCAATCAGTTGCCCAGTCGATCCAGACTCCAAAAACAAGGAGTTGCCAAAAACCTAGTATGATTCCTGGCGACTCAAATGATAGTAGCATGCACACAGAAATAGTTTACCGGCTTTACGACTGCCAAAACATGTTTGGAAATGGGCTGGAAGGTTGAACCTTCATTGTCTTTCCTCCTGACTTCGTGGTTGTTGGATCCCGCAAGCTTCCTAGCCAGGTGCATGTCACACAGTTCGTCCTTAGTGATGGCCACGAAATTCGAGGTGTTGAACTCCTCAACATAGCGGCGTTCTCGTGCGTCAAGATAAAGACTGATGGGATAGCCCAGCCTTCAAAAGCACTCAAGCAAGCTTTGGAGTTCGCAAGTAGACTGGACACAATTGCTCCAAGATGTTCCAAATAATGAAATAGGATAGAATGAACACGTGTGCTCTTTGGTGCTCTTGTCTAAGCGAGCGCCACAATTGCACATCATCCGAAGGTGTGGGCAACATTACATTTATAGCTGTCCAACGCCACAAAAAGAATCTGCCAACATCCAGGGAAGGTCTGGCCCAGGCACTCTGTGGAAATTCTCGGAAGTACTGTACGTAGTTCAATCCTTACACAAAAGGGTTCCCCTCTATTAGTGGCACGATAAAGTATGATAAAGTTATGAACGTGTATCCTCTGGCAAAGCGATATCTTCCAAGCCTAGCAACCAAGTCACATGTCTGCAAGCCTAGCTACCATGCACCAACAACCTGTGCACCTTACCTTACCAGTCAAGTCATGCCAATCATGCCAAATCCCACATGCCACGCATTGCCATGTGCCTTTTGGCCGCGTGCATGCTTTCGAGGTCTGCAGCATAATTGCCAGCAGCTTTGCAGTCACCGCACCTGCAGAGGAGAAGAACGGTGTGAGGGGAGCATTGTTGCCTCGTAAGAAGTGCAAAAAACGCATCATACTTGAAACGATAAAAGACGTCTACAGTAACTACTTCAGGTTTGGAGCCATGCACCTTTTGGACCGTCAGAGAATTTCATCTGATGTTCGTATCATAGAATACCAGTTCAATGATCCCTTCAATTCTGCAGCACATGTCAATGTCAATACCATATGATATACTATGTATATAAACAAATGTCGAATAGAAAGCATGTCAATCTCTTTAACCCAAAGTCACACTGGCCGCGCACCCAAGCGGTGCGGCTCGGTCGTACGTGTCGTTGACCAATCCGTCCAAAGCCTGGCAAGAAGACAAACAAATCTGTTGCAATGCACGAAACCGATATTCACAAAGAACGTTTGTCAAAGTACTCCTATTCGACCATTGAATTGGGTCTGGCAAAAACTGCTTTCACCTTTAGGTCTTGACAAAATGCACAATTTATTGATATCACATGCACTGCAAGCATATCTTCATGAGCCTACCACATTCTGAAGAATATGTAGGATAAATGTGAATGTTTATGTAATGTTTATCCTACATCATGCCTCCTGTAGGACCTACATGTTGTTTTTGAAGATGTGATATCATTAACTTTCAATCTCCAGTATACATTGCACCCATCTGGAAACATAAGTGTAGGATTCCAAAAGCATGTGTGCATATTTTGTGTACTGCTTACTGCCAAAAAAAACTCTGATATGCAACTTTTTCAGCGCTTCAAAACACATAATCTGCAGTCCAAAAACCTTTGTTGTGAGTGCTCAAAAAACATGTGTTTGCTTCCATAGTGGCATGCAACAAACAAACAAAAAACAAGAAATTTATATTTTCATGTGTCAAAGTACATGTGCCCACCATGCAAAACACATGTGTCTGATCAGAAAAATATACATCTTAAAAAAAAAAAAACATAATGCATCACTATAGCAAAATGCAATGATCACTAACATATACTACAATGAGCGTAGGGCGCCACCTCATGAGGCGCAAGAACATCCTAGACAGCTTTCCACAGCAGTTATGGACAGCCCTAGATATCAACCACCAAACAAATACCTTTTTGCCTTCTTTACCTTACATACATTTCACACACGTCACCCTTGCAGGGCAACACCAAAATTCTATTACAGTCTCAGTAAAGGCTACGAAGGGTCTTTCCATGGTCTTTTGTTACGAGTATAATATCAAAATACAGTGTCCTTCATGCACCGTCGCAAACACAATATATAACATATCAACAAGAGGCCATTGAGGGTGCTTTGATAAAGCTTCCGCAAAATGTGCTCTACCACGCACACCCAGCAAGCTGCCCACTGTCAACCTGCATTGCACCACTATCGGTTTGATAGTAACTGCCAACCTCAGTGCCAAACATGCACTTTACCTGCGCCACTCCAGAAAACACGAAAACAAAGAAGCCAAGGCAAGAACCAACTTCAAGGATTGACATGCATGGGCAGGCGCCCAAACCAGGCTAAACATGTACTACATGCATCAAAATGTTGATCACACTCAAACACTGGATACAGTCGGCGTTCCTTGGCCCTCGAGGATCAAGCAGTTGGCCTACTTTACCAATTCCTCGCGGTGCCCAATCCGACAAAAAAGTCCTCAGGTCTGCGCAGGATTCACAAACACCACGAAGGTGTATTCAGTGGAAGGTCCAACGCCAAGCCTTCCAAAATGGCGCAGCCCTATCAGTTCTGGTGCAGTTGTGCGCTGGTCCGGCAGCCAAGAGATGCCAAAGCGGACATGTACAATGTACAGCGAGCTCTACACACAAAACTTTACAAAACCCTCTGAAGTCCAAGACCTTCTGAAGTTCTTTTACCCTCATGCTGCTTAGCATGCAAGCATGTTTCTCCTGGGCAGTTGAATTTTCATGATTCTGGTGATGCAGCCCGGCTCTGCTACAGGAAAACCTTTCTCGTGACAATTACGGACCAAAATTAATCGCGCTGTCCCATTCCGCCACACAAACCCAAGTCTGCAAGTCTTGATGATCAAGTGTTCAGGGCAGGGCTGCAAGCTTGTTTGCTGTGCAGTGCTTAGAACAATGTGAGTACTGTAATATCCCACCAATCACTAAGACATTTAGAGTTTAATAACTCGAACCGTTGCTGCATTAAATAGTAGTGGTTATCTGGTCTTTGATGATCTCCACGGTAAATCCGAACCTTCATTGTCTTCCTCACGTGGAGTCACTCCCATTCACATACATAAAACCCAGAGCAGAAACATCAGCAAACACGGCGACATCGACTGTGTATGGCCTTGGACCACTGCCAAACAGAAAGGGTCGCACATATAGGGACCCATTAGTACCTGTAAGGCTTGGAGAGGGCTGGGATATACAAACAAAGCATTGGCTCCTCATGGTTTAAAGAAAGACCAGTGATTCAAAATACACCTCCCAACAAACTGCATCTGACAGCATTCTCATCATCGCGAACAAAGTCGAGCTTGCACAAACTCCATCTTGATTGCAGGCACACCATATGGAGGGATGAAGCTCACATTGTCCCTCACCTTGAGCCAAAGTAGGCAATGATGTCAAGAAACAAACACGTCTGCCAAAAAGACTGCCCATGTAAACCAACAATCCAAGTGCAAGCAAGATCTTGAAAAGAATTGCTGATGGGCCACGACGAGAAACTAGTAACTAGCTAGCACCAAGCAGTCCGCTGTTTCGTTGATGGCATTCTCCCATATTTCGAGTGGCACCTGCAACCAGGATATGTAGCTCATTTGGTGCCAATGATCTCGAAGCGAACACTTATATACCCGCCGTTAGCAACGAGCTTAGAGCTTGAGCCTGAAATCAAAATTAAGCTACAAGATGCTACAAGTATCACCAAGTGCCAAGTCGAATCCAATCCGCAAAACCAAGTCTTCCGCACACAAGACGCAACTTAAGACGCGTGCAAAACATGCAAGGCTGCCTCGGGCATGCGGAAGCGCCGACAGCCATGGCTCAAGCGCTGCCAACTCCTTAGAATTCTGTTGGCACAAAATCACACGAAGCTTCAGGCTTGCAAGCTTGCAGGTGTGGCGCGGGTTTACGCACCACTCTTTGTTTAGTATGAACTCTGACATAGTTCCAGCCTCTCTCTGAAAAGGACATTGGATTTGTGGCGAGTAACTCTACGAGTTGGATGATTTAAAGTTTCGGAGAATTTCCACATTATTCCACACCCAAGCTAGACGATGTGACAAAAATGGATGACTTGTGCGACCACCACCAAAAATTGAAAATCAGGGTAGCTTTGGTGGTGATCAAATATGGGCAAACAAACAAAGGGCAAAACTAATTCACAAAGAGCACTTAAACATACTGTAACATAATGATAAAAGCAAATGACAAGGATCTGTTCATCTGAATGTTTGGTTGGTCTACAATTAATGTTCAAGAACCCCAGTGTCTACGGCCTTTATCTTGCTCACTTTAGACGTGCGTACAAGAACAGGATAAGATTGTCCATCGGTGACAAGACAAGAGTCTCAACATTTCTGCTAGCAGCCCGCATTGAGCGCAAGGCTACTGCACACCAAGAAAACACAACGGCCAATCCGAATCCACCTGCGCTATATAATGTATATATAATATACATATAATGTACTGTAACATATTTTGCTGGGAGATGCTCTCAAAATCAAAAATAGTGCAAGGCTTGCCCACCCATCGCACGAGCAAATGTAAAGCATATGACATTGACAACGATTTCTGGAGTTCGAAAGCTAAATTTGTAGGCCCCTCAAGTAGAAAAATACTTCATGCAAATCCCATTGCGCTGCTTCTGGCTAGGGCCATGGCAGTTTGTCGGCAAATGTACAAACATCACCATTCTTGGTATGGAAACCTGACATGCACTATGATGCAATGCGCACATCAATGGCAGCGGTAGCCTACTTGCAGGAATTTTGTCGCTGAGGATACTTTGTAGATCAAAGAGTGTTCGGTAGCGCCTTTGAAGCCTTCAAACAGTGCTTGTCCATAATGGAAGACATTGGCCAGCATGTGCACCGGCAAGTACCTTGGAACTCTTGATGCTCTAGCGGTTCTACTGCTGAAGGCGTCTTGACTTGATGCCGAGTTTTCTTACTTCAACAGCTTTCAATGGGAATTGCCGGAATTGCCTCTCCAAAAGGCAATCAAACATTTAATCAAGGTTGGAGCAACTACAATTTTGGGCACATGCATCATGCCCCCAAGGGCATAATACTGGGGAAAGCACGGATCCTGAAATGCGTGGCCGGAATCCCACACTCCATCCTTCCAAGCCTGCCAAGGCTATTGACACATGACATCCACAATGAAAGCAAAACTCGCAACGCGGAACACGTTGGTTTTCACAGATTGGAAATTACACTTCACTTTCAGCACACAAGACACTCAAGACTCTTCAAGACATGGCAGTGCTGCGAAGCCTCAGCATGCAGGGTGAGGAATCTCCGTTTCTTGAAACATCTCGGACAGCCAGAATTGACTTCTGCCACAAGGTCTTTCGCCAGTTTCTGTCAGAACTTCCTCTGCTCAAAGTCCCAGACGGATATGGGACTTAGTTGGAACATATTCGAAGCCAAGAGATCGCCAATCCAAAGGAGCAGAGCCTGCGTTGTTGGTCATGGTGAGTCGGTGAGGTTGAACGGGGTTCTTCGGTTCGGAGAACCACAGGCTTCGGATGTAACTCCTTTTGCTTCACACATTCGGTGTAAGAAAAGAGCCCCAAATCCAAATCTTCAACTTCTGAAAGCTACTCCAAGCTCAAAGGTACACTAGATGTAAACCGTGTCGATCCTCAGCCAGCTGACTTGTATACCTTTCCGCATCTTTCCCCTTGCCCCACATGGCTCAGTGCGGCAAACCGATACATTGTCTGTGGCTCCCTGTCTGCTCCTGAACCAATTGGTGTTTAGCGGCACCAAAACTAGCAAGTCAATGCAAGTCATGTCGAAGGATAACAATGGCTCCATTCTCCCCCTATAGGTTGGAGACCATCGCTCTTAGGTTGGAGGCCATCGCTCTTAAGGTTGGAGGCCATGGCTATTAGGTTGGAGGCTATCGCTGTTGGCTCCATTCTCCAGCATGTGAGCTTAGAATAGCCCTAGAGCCACTCCCTTTGCTGATTTCGTCCCAAAGCCATGCTGTGTCCAGCATGTCCAGCCTATCTTCTCAGGCAAGGGCTGACCCCACATCTCCATCGGACTGGCACACAATCGGCACATTTTTCGGGAATCAAGACTCTGCGAACAACTGAATGCCTGAGAATAGTAGTGATGTACAAACTGAGCCTCAACATCTATTCTAGATTCAAAATCTGGGCTTCAAACATTTTCCATGGCATCTTGAACCCTGCCCTCCGTTCAGTGTTGAATGATTGTCGACAATAGGAGCTTCTAATATGGGCTTCAAAAGCTTGACAATGCAGTTTCCGATGTGTCAACACACATGATGCTTGAGATTCTCAAGCTGTACTGCAAAACAAGATGGAAAACAGTTGGCTAAAATGGATCGCTCGTTTGACTCCACAGCATCTTGTGCCAGTGGCACGGGACCAGGTTTGCTGATACCGACGTTCTTCTCACTCCAAATCCTTGATGCCGATGGGGCAGGCCGACCGTCGGTCGACAAAGGATGGAGCCCAAAGGAGTCGCTATATAAAGGTAATGGGTCAAGCGGCGAAAGTGAGTCTCAGCAAATACAATGAAATACAAGTATATAGTATGACTTTGCAGCATGCATCTATATACATGTGAGCCCGCCAACCGGCAGTTGATTGAAATGCTACAGAACTTCAAGTAGAAACCTTCCGACGCGAAGCACTACCTGGCAAGAATAAGTCAAAGTCATATGGCACACTGCATGCCGAACATATGTCTGCAGTGCACCCCTTCATTTTGCAGTGTGCAAAAAAACATGTGCAAACATGCATTTGTGAATGTCGCTGTGGAACCAGCATGCCATGCCGTGCATGTCAGCCGCTGACCAATGTTGTGTGAACAAACCTGTTTTCCAACATCACAAAGAAGAAACTCCTGCAACAACTCCTGTATTCTTTATGTGTCAAGGTCAAGGGTGTCACATGGTGTCACTATCAAGCTGCATTCCTCCAAACTTGTTGTATCAACTAATTGGTGATACTGTCTAACTGCTCTTACCAAGCGAGTGCGGTATAACTCAACTTCTTGTGGAACAATACAAGAAAAGCCGACTACATACTTGAGGAGCCAGTACAAGTCTGGTGTTCATCCATCCAAAGCCGCTCAGCTCCCAGCTGGCTGCTGTCTTGGGCAAATGCAACGAGAACATGGCCATTCTTGGATAGCAAGCACGAGCCAAGTTGGTTGACTGCCGTTTCATATCACATCAAAGCTTGGGTTGAGCCATGTGTTCTCAATTGTGAGTTTATCTAGAGTATATTTAATGGTAAGGCTGGTGCGATGCGAGGCTGTGTGTACTCTGACACTTGAGGAGAGTGAATTGGATGCTTGGGTTTTCTTAGGGTATCTAATCTAGAAATGTAGAGAATTGAAGCAGTAATGCTACAACCGTTCTTTGGGATACTGCTTTGAAAAAGCAAATTGCTGAGAATGCCACCTTAACTACTTCACCGAATCTAGGCAAACTCTGTGCACAAGCGCATCTACAAACTCGTCGAGTGATGCAATGGTGCTGCACCACACAAAATGTTTGTTTGGCCACGCATTGACAACGCTGTCGTTGACTGTACTGGGGCAAACGCCCAAGACACATCGCTGGTTCAACATCAAAATCGTCCGGTGCGCATCAGGTAGTCTATGCCTGTGAAGAATGCACAGCTAGCAACTGAATATCTCCCTATTGACTCAAGAGATCTGCTAGCAGCTTTGTACATGGCCCCTGCGCAAGCACCAGCCACTGCCGAATTAGCAGTGTCATCTGATCGAAAAGTGCTGACCAAGCCATTGAAGAGCACGTAGTACATGGTGATAATGGCTGACTGATTGGCCAAAGCCGGACCGTACCGACTGCAGGAGTTCAGTACTGAGTTCAGGAACAGCTTCGGTGTGGCACCACCTTGTCTAATTCCAAGTAGTCCACCGTAGAAGCCACCGGTGAGAAGTCCAGCACCGTAGGTCAAGCCAATGCTGTAGGTCATCTTTTCACCAAATTGTCGGCCGTAGCCTTCCAGAAAAAGTTCATCCTTAGGAACTGGTGTAGAGCTACTCCGTCGTGAGGTGTCCACCAAGATTTCGGGGGCACGGACACCCCCAGTGGACAAGTAGTCACTCATCGATCACGGTTCACTGCACCAGCGGTGCAACGTGTAAGCGTCTCTCTCTTGGGCCGAAATTGCGAGATACTTGCTACTAGTAGCGATGCCCTTGTTACTAGTAGCGATGCACTTGCTACTAGTAGCTTCTTGTTACTATGTTCAAGTAGGAAGGACCGATGTTGGTTAAAGTCTTTGGTTGCCTGTTTCCTGATATGCTCCCAGCGGCTTCATCTTTTCTTGCTCCCACGCAGGGCTCTCATTTCCCTTGCACTGGGAAGTCCTAGTTCCAGAGACACTGGTGTCTTGTGCCTCAGAAGCTTTCCCTGTAGTGTACCTGAGCAAAAACGGCAATGATGACGACCAATGTTGCAGAACAAACGAAGAAATCGAATCTATCCAGCGTTAGCGTTGGTTACAAGAGATTATGGTCAGCCAATCCAAGGGCACTATATATAAATTCTCTGGGAGTTGACACTAGCACGATAAATTTACTGCTCAATCTGCCCCAAAAAGTCAAACACCATCCAAAGTCTACTGACCTGACCCCCGT